CAGAATAAAGGAAGCTGGGTGTTAAAAATTTGAAGAAGTCGTTTTTGGGTGTTGCCTTTAAAGCAACAGTTCAGGAACGGTTTCGCGGGAAAAAACCACCAATAATGAAGTTGTAGATGAAAACCAGACGATTAATGTATGAAAAACTGGAAAAAAACGTCGGGGAGGGTCTTAGACAGGTACTCTCCCTCTGCCGCTCAGCAATGGATAAAGACGCACGTTGGACGAGTTGTCTGAACGTGCCCGCTGTAAACGCGCTCCATTTTTCAATCAATTTTCCCTGTGGTCCCAAAACGAGCACGATTGCCGACGCGTCCAATGACGGCCGGCAAGGGGGCGGGATTGGGGAAATCCCCAAGAACACCCATGTTTGAGGGACTTTCCACCCTGTTTTTGAGTTTCTGAGGTAAGTTCGTTTATTATTTCCACTGCATATGTTCTTCACTAGGGCTCGTGTATCCCTCAGTAGTAGTGGCATTGAAATTTTCGGACCCTCCCTGAACTGTTGCTTTAAGGCAGGCCGTCTGGGTGTGGGATGGTGGGGAAGGTGTGAACGTGACGGCTGACTCTGCTGCTAAGAGTGCTCCAGTGTGGCAAATTTCAGAATCATGTCTATCTGTTTTATAGGAGGTTTCATTCATAAAGGACAGCGCGGAGAAAACATTCTAACTCCGTTTAGGCAATACCTTCGAATACACGCATGAGACCAGCGTGTCAAGACGCTTGGAATTTAATGACTTACATCTCATTTTGAGCGGCTGCGTCTTTCTGAAGCGTTCAATTGAATTCAGGCCGGGACGGTTGCATGGCTCTGGGGCGGTAGTAATGTGGCCTAAGCTGCTAGTTAGCATGTGACCATGAGCTCGTGATAATATGGTCAAGGCCTTCATCCAGAATTTCCTAAAAATGCGTAGATGTTTTCTGGAACCCCTACGAAGATAATAGTTGAAGTGAGTTCAAACTCACTCTCTGGGGGTGATCGGATCTTGTTACTGCAAGAGGATTGGCAGGGGGCCATTCAAAAACTCACAACGATGGCGGCAGAGAAACTAGAAATATGCACGAGGGGTGGAGGCGTAGGCATGCTGCCACTCTGAATGTGGCCATCTCTTAAAAGCCCTCCGGAAGTCTTTTTAGAGATGGGCGGTGTTAAATCGGTCACGGGACCAGTTCTTTGATATGTCCAAAGGTTCGCAAACTTCGTAGGCTATTCTTCTCTTCCCTTTCACTGTGGATAAGAAGGGCTCCTTAGTGCAGTAGCAGTGATGTGGGAAGGTGCACCAAAGGTTCAACCCATGTGTGACGCAAGTTTTGCAGGCAACGTGGTGGATGCTCACCACTTCCACTATGGCAAATTGCCAGTGGCTCAATGGGAACGTTCCACGCTGCCGCTGGCAAGGTTGCTGGATCAACACCGCTTGAAGTCTAAGATTTGCAAACAACATCCGTTGCTTACCTGTTGTCAACATCTTCCAGTGCTGTGATCGAGTGATCCCTGGTGCACTGGCAAAAAACCCGGCTATGAGTCCTGTCATCCAGGGTTCAAGTCCGAGAGTGGCGCAAGTTTTGCAGGTAGTGTGGCGAGGCTGGCGGTTTCAAGAAGGGTCATGTCCATGTTTCCACGTTCTTGTTCCTCGTCCAATGGGGAAATCACCACATTTAATTGCTAGTTTATGGTATTTTATTACCGGTCCTGGTTACTCGATTTGAATGAAGAGCTTAGCCGTCTTTTTTTGAGATGACTAGCCATGACATGGTTATCTATTTCTGGATTCAATGAAAATGTGTTGTTCGCTAATAGCAAAGAAGAGCGGAAGTATGGTAGTGTGGTACTGCTTATGTCGAATATTTGCCTTCATCTATAATCTGTTGGTGTTTGAGCAATATACATTAACTTGCTTAGATAACTACGTGTTTGTCATAGAATTGTATGTTAACATCATGCTCTTTCGGAACTTCATTTTGTATCTGAATGTTGATGTAATCGTTTGCCGTTCTGGGTGTTCTGCGGATAATACAAATCAATTCGAAGTTTTTCCCTTCGCCAAATGCAAAATTCGGTGTTTAGCACCCCTTCTGGTCTTGAGATATACCTGGCTCAGTGTTAGGTAAAAGCTGACAATTTCGAATAACCCTCCCTTTTCTGAATCAACCAATGTAGCAGTTACCACACCGTAGAACACAAACTGAGTGTCCTATCCAACCTAGGCTCTCAGAGTCCTGAAAAATGCGACTGGTACTGCTCCTAGTAACAGCTTATTAGGGTAAATCCTTGAAGATCAGGAAATTGTGGTAAGTTGATGAACTGGAGGATGTCGCGTTCGCAACTCTTACTTTCAGAGCTTCTAGTATCTCGTAAATTAACACCATCGTCAAAAGTATGTAATAGAGGCGAACTACGTTGCATTCTGCTCTTCACCAATTCATTACAGCAAGCTGAGCGGTTATTTCAGGGCTATCATGAAGGGTAATACAGGAAACACTGTATTAGCTGAGACGGAGAAGGGTATCATTAATAAATTGATTATGTATGAACTAGTTAGCCATTTGAATGTATTCTAGGTCCGACGGTGCTAAGCACTGAACCACCATCATCTAGCAGGAAGTTTTGATATTACTATGAATTCTGTCGAATTCTTCTCACTAAAACTTACGAAGCTGTACATTGTTCATTGTTCAATCACATCAAGTTGTTCGTTGCTTCTGTAATAAAGAATCTGGTCAAAACGGTCATGTTATGAAGGCTTGTGTCCTCCATAGCTGACCGCTCGTTCTGAACATAACAAAGAACATTTTGCACGAACAGAAATTGCGACGATTTCCGGAATGAAGCACCGATCACCTTCAATTCGCAAGCAAACTCAATTCGGCTGGCATTCCGAGCTCATTACAGGCAGCGAAGCCGATGAGGGGTTACGGATCTATGGAGATCAACACCAAAGAAAAGATAAAGATAAAGAAAAGAGATAAGGGAGGAAGCACATGGCATTTGTACGAGAACATCTATAGAGCACTGAATGCCATGTCATGCAGCCATAATTTTGTTTGTCTTGCCTCATGCAGTCAGTGCTCGCAAGAGAATACATAGATTGAATACACGTATGATCATTATGGCTACGACAATCTGCTGAACACCCTAGCAGAATATGGCAACATTCAGTTTAAGTAATGTGATCACCTGCGCCCAGGACGATAGTACCGGCCTCGTTTGTATGGCGTTCATGGCACATGAATAAACAACAACTAATGGGTAAACGAAATTGCATTCTAATAGTGCTATGATTCTGTTAGGAAGTTTCATGGCGCATACAAAAAATGTAAATGTAGGGCGAAGTGGCAAAGTGGCAAGTACCACGCTTAGGAGCGTAAGAAAAAACACTGACTTGTACATGGGTTGGCCGCCACAAGTCATTGTATAGGCCGCATCACATTCAGACGCCACTACCACAAAAAATGGGATCAACGTCAAATGTTTTCGTGATTCAGGGAATAGGAATATCTGCGTGACTCAATCCCTGCATGAGCGGAGCGTTGTAGAAAGCTGGAAACTAAAGAGAAGAAGATCAAATAATATAAAATTTGATTATGTGCAATTAGCTGTTGGTTTGTAGATATGACAAGGAGCGCAGTTACCGCCGAGGTATACAGCAATAACATGAAATGAGGTTCTTGAAAATGGTGGAACGGGAAAGCCGCGTGTAGCAAAAGCTACTGTAATAAAGATTCGTTTGGTTTTAGTTTTGTTTTATAATAAATTTGTTTGTTGAACTTACGTGTGTAATTTTAGAACGTACACGTTCAAGCCTGTGTTGGTATCAGAAGGGCGAGATGTTTATCAAGGCGATTGATATCTATAGAACCAAAACACATGAGATAAAGATATGGTATCAAGACGATATATAAGACCGAGCTATGGTAGGGAAGGTTCAGTTTAGAGTCCAAACTCCAGTGTTCAGCGCCCACTCAATACTGGTCGATACCTCTCCGACGAAGCCCAATACCGGACTGAGGTTCGCTACCAACATCATCGTGTACTCTAATAAAGCTCCTAGATATCTTGTGTATTCAAGCAAGGAGTACTGCAACAAGACCCGCGTGGCACACAGGGAAACAGGGCATAGCTGAACGCCGCTACAAATTTGGTGCATCGGC